ACTTTACTTCAGTACTTAAAAGTTAATTAAACAGCGGCAACTGGCTATTAACAGGCCGTAAATGTAGGGAGGAGTTAACGCATCTCGCTAATAACCTATTTTGTATTAACGGATAGAATTCACAAGTTAAAAATTGGCTGAAAACATTAACTTTCACTCCCAGTCAGATTTTTTCAAATAACTGCTCCTTAAACATCCGCATTTGTGATTACTGTGTCCAGATTATGCATGGTCTTGCATGCAAAGATAGAACTTACTTATATGAGAAGGAAGACTATTGCTTGCCGCCTTTTTGATTCACTTGACTCTGGGCCTACTACTGTATATATTTATTTCAAATGGGAGGCGTTTCGATAGATATCATTAGCCATTTAGCTGACTTCGGGCTTCTCAGAGGGAAGGTTCATCAAAGTAGCAGAAAGTCGAGGGTGGGAAACAGAAGAGCGATTCACAGATGTAAAAGAGACAGACAGACACAAAGGTAGAGAAAAAGGTAAGGTGAGTACTGTGGAAGGGGTCGAATATGACAACCAGGGGGTTCGTGGTAGTTTGGAGTCAGAAGTCAACTGCCGGTTAATAGACTTTTATTTGCCGTATGAGAATACGTTGCCCAGGGTGCACCACGTGGAGGTAAGTTTGGCTGTTAGTGCCACTAAGCCAAGCCGATTAGGCACGGATGGCGGAATTGCTGGCGAAATCTCTGTTAATAAAAAGATGACTACTATATATTGATCTGATTTAAAATATGCTCTAATCGTGTTTCAATTAATGTAAGCGGATGAAAGAATGCGTATCCAAGTGATGCGGCATATAATCAGCCTTGTTGTAAGGTGTGCTCAGATCCTGTTGAGCAGGGGACCGAGTAAGAAACAGTTTAAACTTTCAAGATTAGGTTGAAAATTAAATATTTATTAACTCAATTTGGAATTTTTAAAAGGATTAAATGAATGTATGGCGATGCCAGTGATTTCTTGCAACTTTACGTTTCATTTTGCCCATTTTCAAGTTATCTTGCTCCAATAGCATTTTAGTCGCATTTAAGCGGTTAAAATTGCAAAGACGCTCACTTAAAAGTAATGAATAATTGGAATATATATGATCCATTGTTGAAAAATTGGGAACACTGCCAATTCAAAAATGAGAGTAATGATATACTTTATGATTGTGATTCTGACATTTTATTCAGGCTCACCAGATATTTTAGGATTATTTCAAATATTCTCAACGGATGTTCTCAATTTAAGGCCTCCCGGATCCACCAAAGAACGTTCAGGTAGAGGCGGGACCCCAAGACGGCGTTCTCCTCATTTCCTGGAGGCCAGTTCCTCAAGCAACCCATGTCCTACCCAACTTTGAAAATGAACCCCTTATACATGGTTACTCTGTGTGCATCAATGACCAACCCCTTATGGTTGTCCCTGGAGTAGATCGTAAGTGACTACCAAATATTAATAATATAGTTGACTCTTGTCGAATTTTCATAGGAATATCTGTAAAGTGAATTTGATTTTGTGTTTGCTGAAATGATGTCCTCAACAAAGTTCGAGTCTTGTCTAGATCGAATCGAATATTCTTCAGGTTGTATAATCTAGAAAGTGAACGTCAAATTCTACACCTCATCCAAGAAGGAACACTTTCACCTCATGATCTTTTGTTGTTTTTATACCCACAATAAGCTTTTGAAAATCAAAATATATGATTTAACCTAAGACAAATTTGATACGCGCTAATCGATTTAATTATTCCAATAACTATTGAAAAAGTTAGTATATAACAATAACTTCGATAATAACGTAAGCAGATGTGAAGAGAGAATAGTCAAGGAAAAGATAAGTAAAAATATTACTTTTTTAAATAGAAAGAGCCAAGGTGATGCGTTTTGAAAGGAAAAGGCATATATACACTAATTCAATAGTAACCTCCCAAACTCCCAACTTCAGACGCAATTCTACTTCGCCATCTTGCTGATATAAGTTATGGAAATAAGTTTTTTGAAGAATAAATAAGCCTTAAATGTAGCTCATCAATCGCGTGGTTTTGACACTAACAGCAGTCTAAACAGCCGTCATAATGAATAAGTTAGCGCCAACACTTAACTCCGAATTTTTAGATCTTTGACGAAACATGAATTTCATCTTGAATTTGATCATAGAAAAAAAAACGCAATTTGACTGTTTGATGAAGTTTACTCGTCCTTTTGCTTTGTCCTGATTATACTGCATGTAGTTGGTGAAAGCAAATTCATTTGAAAATGTCCTCGGTTATTTCGATGTTAACTTAAGACAGCCCAAAAGCCAATAGGTGGGTGCGTTGGCCAATAATTTGCTCATCACTCCACATTTGAGCGTTTTATCAGGCTCTGCAAACCCAGGCCGTTCATGACTTTTCACATTGCATGCATTTGAAATGATGATAAAAATAACATTTAAGGTGAATAAGTTGGCGTTGAAGAGGGACACAAATATTGCCTTCATTAGATGCTGGCAAAAGGCAAGACGGACAAATGCGGTAACGGGGTAACAGATATGACGGCATTTCGATATTGAATACTGTGGGTAGTGTGATCTAAATAGAAATCTATAAAGGCTCACCATTTTGGAAAGGCGATTAATCATAGAAGGGTATAGGTCCATAAAGATGGAAATAAACACCAGAGAGAGAGAGGGTTTTCATTCATCTCAGGTTAGCCTAGCTCCGCCACCAACGAAAGCCTGATCTGGTCAATAGCCAGGCGTGGAGGCACGTGCTTGACTTTGGTTCAGCAAGGTTACGAGCATAATTCAAACCAACCTGGAATTTATAACTTACACAAAATTATTTGCCTCAAATATTTTGGGTATAGAATATCATATGTTTAGAAGTTGAATTCTAATGGTACTGCGACCCTCCTAAAAGTCATCTTAGTTCGTTCGAAAAGAGACAAAACGCCAAAAGTTGACCCGTTCTAGGCTAGTCAAGCCAAGATATTCGCATTTAAACTTAATTTGTAGTGACTAATGGTCGCATGATGTGAAACTGGATGAAATTATCAAGATAAAGTATATTTTCCTACTGTATTTAGCCTACATAATTTGAAGATTTCCTATGTACCGAACTTGGTGCGTGTACAGTTAACTACTAAGTGTTCCAGCTTGAAGGAAGTATTGGAGTCAGTCAGAGTCCTGGTAATTTACGCTAATAGGGTCCTAGCTATTTTCCTATTTCCGATGCTTTGATGCATTAGAAACAGATTCTCCTTCAGACAATGTTAACTATTATTTTCCTTCCACCTTACTGAAACCAATACCCAAAGGGTGATTTAAGTAGTAAGCAAGTGCCCAATAGACCTCTACTAGTGAAAATAAATTGCGTGTTGAACTGTGTTTATCTTAGTAAAAAGTTATTTCATTTATTAATTGGTAATTTGCTTGAATTTTCCCATATCACTTCAGGTGACCATGTACTTCTTCCTCTGCGACAACTGGCCAACCTTCTAAAGAGTCCAGAATTTACCCTCGCCAACCAAAAGTCTTTGAGACACCGCCGTCACCAACAATTTCCCACCGCCACTCCGTCCAACCGCTCTAGGAGAACTGACGCTAATGAAGAACTCTCTAGCTCAGAGTCCTCACATTCCACAGGAGATAGTCTCTCAGATCTCCGAAATGAAGAAGATGAAGTTCTGGATGAACATGGGAAAGTGTATACCGGTCCAGATGAACTTTGGCTCACGGTCCACTCCACACTGTCTGCAAATATGGCTCCGTCCGTTGTGAATCGAAATGAAATCGCCTCCGTGGGTAAAAAGGGGGCATCTGGACCTGCCTCCCCACCAATTAAGCTAATTCCGAACCTCCTTCTAATCGCTGCTGGATCTCTAGAAGCAGCTGTGGAACTGTTCGGAAAGAGACTTTCAAAGAGACTTGGGCTGGTAAGATTGAACTCAAAGTGATATTCAATAGGCTTTGCTATTTAATTAATGTTTTTAAAAGTATAATAACTATCAGTAACTTATGCATTTGAGTTTAAATGCAGAATTATGTGATATTAACGAACATACCTTTACTTCCAACCACAATTAAACTTGGAATCACTCTCAAAGTTTCGCAGGTTACAGCGGCCTTTCCAAATGAAAGGACTGCACGTACACTGGACGATCAGGAGTTATAGGGAGGGAAAAGGAGAAGGGAGTTGGAAGCGGAATCGAGAGGATAGAGGTAATCATCAGTACTGAGCGATGTCAAAAAAAGATAATCTTTGACGGTGCGGGGAGAGGATGTCTGGTTTTGCCCCTCGTGAATACAGTGTGATTTTTATAATGGACAGGGCAATGAGTTATTGTGCATATAAAAAAACTAAGTTACATTGAGTTTGAGTCTTATTTATTTGATAATGTCAACTTTGGAAACAAAGAGGCCCTGGTAATTCGTTCACTTATCTAAATGCAATTTTAATAGTATGTTAAGCTCAGAGGAATTTGGTCTTAAATGCTTTTTGAGTAGATAATTGCACTGATCGATTTTTTACAATTTATGTTCGTCGACATTTTCTTTTTTCTAGCTTCGTTAATTTAATAACAGAAGTATCTATAAGCTAGATAGAGTAATTAGTGGCAATAAAACACCTGACATTTTTACAAATCAACTATCGATGTTTCTAAAACTTTTCGCGTGATAGTCTTTTTGATGTGTTGAATTGGGCTTAGGTACCCTAGAGATTAGTTTTTTTGGTTAATTATCTTTTAGAAATTCAAATTTCTTTTTCAATTTTATTACCTTTGCACATCTTCCAATTCACTAACAGTTATTTATTTATATCGAATGGCAGGCGTTTTGAGGGTTATCATTAGCTCTTTAGTTGACTTCAGGCTTCACAGAGGGGAGGGAACATTAAAGTGAAAAATATCGGGAGGGGGGAAACAGAAGTGTTTCATAGACGAAGATAGAAAAGGTAGAAAAAAGGTGAGGTGAGTACTGTGAAAGTAGTCGAATATGACGTACATCGGGGTAATGGTAGTTTGAAGACAGAAGTCAACTGCCGATCTATAGACTAAAATAAATATGAATAACATCTGAATTTAATAAAGGATGATTTTGAATTAAGAGAGGAACAACTTTTTCCTTCTGGTATTTAAATTCCTATCTTCTTCTT